CATTTTTGCAAAGTCGAGAACGTAGTTAACTTTATCTGCCCTACAATTAAAAATGGTAAAACTATTCTGAAAACTTCCAAAATCAAAACCTTTTGACAGGGATGGCAACAAGTACCAATTTCAGCACTTCAATCATTCTTCTGATCGAGTACCACCTTACACAGATATCTTTGGATGTTCGAAAATTTTATGTGTAACTATAATCAATCTATTTCTGATAAATTCCTTATGAGGAGAAAGATGGTTGTTTTTTTAAAGGAATGAAACTGTCAGCGATCATACTTTCGTTTTCTTTTTTGATACACATAATTGACAAGTACTTGAAATGCAAGGAATGTACCTTGGAAATTAAAACAAACTTTTTATGATTCAAGGTGCTAAATTATTAATTAAAGCTGATGCTACTGAAAAATATTAGTACTTAAAAGCAGTTTTCAAGTATCTCAGAACGAATTTGTTTTTATTATATTGAGTTTATGTAATAAAAATTCAAAAATGATACACGTCAAAAAAGTTGTTAATTGCATATACATTGTACCTATCAAACTCTTTGCCTCATTAAAAACATTAACCATTATGAAGTGGAGATAACATTATCCACACATCTGCACAATTTATTAAATTTAGATCTATAATCTAAATGTGTCAGTAGTGGACATAATATTTTAGAAATTCTAAATTCTTATATTTCACTTTAATCCAATTTACAACAGAAAAATTAAGTGTTTGTTGCAACCACTATTGAAATAAAACCACTATTGAAATAAATTATTTCAATAGTGGTTGGGAATGCATTTCATTAGAAAAATCACTTTGCAACCACTATTGAAATAAAACCACTATTGAAATAAATTATTTCAATAGTGGTTGGGGATTATTTCATTTGAAGAATCACTTTGCAATCACTATTGAAATACAACTACTATCGAAGTAATTATATCAATAGTAGTTGGGGATGCATTTCATTTTAAGAGTCACTTTACAGACACTTTTAAAGACTAATGTTTCATTATTTTTTTTTATTGTAGACGAGAATGAACTTTTTAGAAATATTACTTTGTTATTACTATTGTAACGCAAGAAACACTTTATCTAACGAACAATATCAGATATAAAAAGTGGGTATTATACTTGCATATTTTACGGTATTAATAATCAAGACTAAAAGGAAATATGGTATAATGTTACATTTTCACAGGTGTGCAAAAATATATAACCAATTCACGCAAATTAAAATGCAATTAAAGGTATTAAAGACTTATATTTTACAGTAATTATAACCGAGACTATGAATTTAACGTACCTCTTTTCGGATTTTTTACTGTTGTGCAGAAATAAAAAAATCTCGTAGAATGATGTATAGAATTGTTTTCATATTCTTTTCTTTACCTTTTTCTTTCTATTGATATATAATGTGAAAATCGTAATTATTTGTACAAGAATTAACACAATGGAAATTACCGGAACTTCAACTCAAACCCCCTGTATATTAAAATAAATCAATTAAGGATACATGTAATTATAAACATCACTATTAAGATAAATTATTTCAATAGTGGTTAGTGATGAATTTTATTACGACCACTATTGAAATAAATTATTTCAATAGTGGTTGATGATGAAGTTTATTACGACCACTATTGAAATAAATTACTTCAATAGTGGTTGGTTATGAAGCTTATTATGAGAAATAATTTGCAACCACTATTGAAATAATTTATTTTCAATAGTGGTTTTATTTCAATAGTGGTTGCAACAAGTGTTACATTTTTATACTGAGTACTTGAAGATCGACAATTGGTCATTCCCTTGAGCACTTGATTATCCCGTTACTCATTGCCGATTATCCAGTTCCTCATTGTCAACTCTTCTCACAAGTATTTGAATTTTAGAAGTTGCACATTATTTTGATAATGAGCAATCCTTTGTTTCATTTGGAGAAGTCTTTTTAAGCTTTTTTATATTTAGATCTTAGGCAATTCTTATCTTTATCCTTAGCATAATTATGACGGCATACACTGCTTATTCGACATCACTTCATATCACTAATTTGAGAAGATTCTTAATAAACAGTTCCTTCTTATATAGAAGTCTAAGGTCAATGCAGTAACTTTTCGAATACTCTAAAATCAACCCATATGCCTAATATTGAATAAATTCTTGGCCCGAAGTTTCAACAGAGTATATGTAAGGCGGGCCATTTGTTATCAAAAGGCACAATTGAACATTTGTTAAGTGCCACTAGGCAACTTCTCAAGCCAAACAACAACATCTTACCTAAAAACTTTTTACGGTCAGTTGATATTTTATTTTAAATATCCTTGAAAGAAGTGATCTGAAAGACGAGGGCCAAATGTGATGCTACATAATGCTGCATAATTTACTCTGAGCTTTAGTTTTAAGTAAGTTTAAAAGGAGAATATTATTTTCTTTCTAAAATTATTGATCTGTTTCAAATTATGATTCAGTGATCACATTTTCAAACGGTTTTAAGTATCTTATGATAAAATATTAAAAAAGTGTACGATATAATTTCTAATAACGTCTTTTTAGCGACCTATAAGTACTTAATGTTTCTGAAAAATATCCAAGACTGATGTTGCCATAGTATATTATTTTAGACACACTCTTCATCTTCAACCTTTCCATATAGCTTGATATTTTCCTCAAATGAAAGACATAAAACTAACCCCTACAGTCTTAAAGCTTAATCACACAGGGAAAATGAACCAGCTTAAACGATCTAGAAAATATCTACCTGAATTTAACGCAACCAGCTTTTGAAAGGTAAGCAGACTCTATCTTGTAATTCAGCTCTTTATCATATGGTTTTAAAGTTTGTCCAATGTCTTCATTTTCTATGTAACTCCACTGGACTAGGTTAATCATCAACTCCGCTGTTTTCCTTTCTTGTTCGACAGTTACAGCGTGTCGCAAAATCCTGTCAAATAATTATGATTATGAAGGATGTCTGCTGAAGAATTACGATTACTTTTTTTTTAAATTCTTTTCGGTGACTTATAAAAATATCATTATTTTAGTAACAGTGACATTTACCCCAGAGGGTTCACAAACCATCCTAATCTGGTTTTTAACAAATGGTTGCTATACACAAAGTTTGAATACAATAACTCATTTCAAACTCTAGATATTGGCTAGAAACCATAAAATGGACCAACCGACCGACATACTGATCAACAAGGTGACTGCTATAAACTCCCCTTAACTTTGTTTTGGGAGTATAATTAGCATAAAAAGAGCAATTAAGAATAATCTAGTTTCTTTGCCCCTGCCTCCAGAATGAGGACTTCAAAATGGCTAAAACTACATTCTATTAGCATTATATGCTGTGATGGTTGAAGTTTACAAACTTAACATTTATGTTGACAACAACATGTCTTGTGATGATAACACAAATAAATATCTCTGATGATGTCATGCAATAAAGTATATTAATGTCTTAATATAAAATTCATATACCTATGTATATTATCCGCAGCTTTACTGACATTTGCAGAAATTCCTGCTATTTGTATGATACCTTTAGAAGATTTCACCTTAACGTCCAGATGATGTTTCGTTGCCACATTTTTTATTTCCAAAATCTGAAGGTAAAAATAACATAATAATCAAAGGTGAAATTATTTAAGTCTACAATTCAATAACTTACTTAACAGGACTTTAAAAATGAGATGGCATCAATTAAATGATGCATAATTTTCAGACTTTATTTTAACATATTTACAAGCTTAGTTTCTCTTAAATATATGTACATGCATGCGTCTTTTAATCAGGTAATTTCAAGACAATCTTTAATTTTAAAGCATTTATTAAAGGGACTTCATTGAGGTAATTTTACATGAGTGGAGTAGAAAATAATTTTCCGAGATCTGTGTAGCCTTTGGTGTAGGTATGGGTGCAAATCTCAAGATCATTTCCCTTAATACTTTTTTCCAGGATAATCATCCCTGTCAGACATGACCCAAAAATTAAAAGGCATTGCAATCAGGCTAAACAATGCACATAAAATTATATTAAGTGTAATTCTGGGCAATTTCCCACATAACTCTTAGCAGATTTATCTTTTGAAATGCATCACGTGAATTTGAAATTTTATATTTTAGGGCACTTTGACCTTAGTGGTGTTTTAAATAATAACGTCAATATACACAAATTATTGTTTAAAAATATATTAGTAGAGTTTGTTGATATTAATTGCCAAAAACGGCATTCTAAGTCAATGTCTTTTTGGTGTATTTTTGGTGTATTTACGTTATTTCCTATGTTATTTACCAGGTGAAAAAGCTGAATAAAAGCAAAACAGGACTAATTTGTTTTTCTATATTAGCCAATATAAACTAATTGACACCTGGAAAGAATGATCTGAGAAGAGGCTAATTTTGATATTAAGAAACCCAAACCTGTGATCTGCATATTTTTCATTATATTTGATATTTCTACTGAATAATTTTCATTTCGTTTAAGCTGTTCGTAAATTATTCTAAAATTTATACATACTGACTATTACCTAAACTAACACTGAACTTGTACTCTGCATATTTTCTCATTATGATTAACACTTCTTCCAAGGAGTTTTAATTTTTTTCCAGACACAAAATTGCAAGCAGACGGACAAATGACTATGTGCATAACATACTAGGCCCAAATAGTTTTTTTTTTGTTGGGTGTTACATAACACCAACGCAGTATAGGTTATATGGCAACTTTCCAGCTTTACGGGTGAAGGAGACCTAAGGTGCCCATCTGTTTATTATTTTAAGTATACAGAAGAACCACGGAAGTTCCCTTTACTTACTGGGTAGCTTCCATACCTGAAAGTATCCAAAGTCCCTGTCAAGATTTGTAGGAACAGAAGTGAGTGGCAATTAGTGGTTTGAAATTTGAACGGCCTTAACCACTTCGCTATTGACGCCCCTTCAAAACCTTTTCATGCATAATAATAGTATTAGAATATGTAGGTAAATTACAAGTTTCCTTACCTGTTGATCATTCATATTCTTTATAATACTGTCATTAAAATTGCTAGATGTTATTTCCTTATCAAGACAACTTTCCAACTTTGATATAGCTTGATCAATGATATGCTCAGACATCGCAAGAATGATGAATGTAACTTTATTCAGATCTTGGTTCTTGGCATGTTTCTCTATGATCTGTCTTCTGCTTGACTGATCTTGCTCCCCATCACCTAGCATGTCTTTTAAAATAAGATTATAGCTAGTGAAAATAAGCAAGATTTAACATTATAGTTTTAATATATATATTGGACCTGAACAACTCTTTTTAATTTATCTACGGAAGTATTTTTTTTTCGACAGATTATTTCGGTACATTTGTTTGATAAAAATGTTATTTGATTTTAAATGTTTTTATAAAATACAATTTTTTGTTTGTTAAAATCATCTCCATGTATATTGTCAACATTACCAAAAAAACCGACATAGGCAGATATTTCGTAATTCTAAGTTTACGAAAAATATTAAGTATGTTTTGTATTTGAATTAATTTATTGTTTATATATCAACAAAAATGTGTATTATGTTGGTAATTTTCAAAAGATATAGCATAATAAAAAATCGATTTTTATTCATGTCCATCTTTGTCACAATTTTACGTTTTAAAATATAATTATGTCTGTCTTAGGCTGGTTGTAGTAATAGTTTTCGTATCCAACATATTGCTTATACTTTTGTTGTCATAAGTGAATATTCACAATTGCTACATGTGTTTTTGAACTGTTTTGTGTATAAAACAAAAAAGGACAGCAACTCTCATGCCCCTGAAACTTACGCAAAAACGTAGCTTCCTACATACCTTTTTCTCGGAAAATGACCAAGCGTCTTGTTTACTACTTCCAATGCCTTAAACTTGCATAACATATCTTAGACTATATACGTCAAAACTTGCAAAATAATTTAAGTTGGTGTATGCAATGGGGTGAGAGGTGAGGGGTTTGAAGAAGTTATATGCCTGAATTCACAGAAAAAATGGGTTAAAACCTGTATTCCTGTTGTGATTAATATTTCAAGCATTATCTACATTAAAGTTAGGAGGCACTGATATTGTGTCTAAACATTTTAAGTGACTGTTAAGAATGTTTTTATCCCTTACGCATGATTTGTTGATTTATTCTTATTTCAAATTTAAACGCACTTTGTCCAAGATGTCTCTAATTATATTTAAACAAGGGTGCCATAGTCACAAAATACGCCCGTTTACGAAAGCTTTAGATGGAGATGGGGGCATTATGGATAAGTGTTATCTAGCAAGCAAGTTTTTATTCTTGGCACTGTGTTGTTAAATGAACCTTAAGGTGACAACGGAGTCAATTATCACTGAAAATACCTAAAAAGAGATTTTTTGCTTACTAAATTTATTAACCTTTTTTGAAAACATTCGTGATTTAATTTTTGAAGCAGTTAGTCCAAAAAATGTGTTTTTAAACGTTTTAAAACGGTACCTATCCCATTTGTATCTGCTATTCGCGTAACCTGTCAATTATCGATAACGCTCCGCCCCCTGTTGGGGCATCAATGAGGGAAATCGGTAGTTCCATATATCCGTGAATTACCGCTCCATACTACTCGTAATACATGTATCGTACAAATACCGTACATCTTTATGAATATCTCAACATTTTATCGTCTACATTTTATTTAGCCTTTTTTTATATAAATTAAGAAATGTACTTAACATAATGTATGTAACATAAGTAATTAAGCATAGCTGTAAATCGCACGACCACGGGGTTGATTAAAAAATGTAGTTGCTAAAATATCCATAATGTGTGAAAAAATAATTTGTTTATCCTGTTAATCTGATAGATATTACATTGACTTTATGGACTTTTGTACTGATTCAAGGGATTGCTTTACATTCAAACTAGTTTTCTAACAATGTCTAGTAAAACAACAACAAAATAACAGACATAATTTATGTGAACGCCTATTTGACTTGTGGTAAGGGGTCCATGACCAATTTCTAAACCATTTTTACCATTGTCTAAGGATGATTATTTCTCTATGAATCAATAAAAAAAGATATTAAAATATATTACCAGTGAATGCTTTGAATAAATTGTCCGCCACTAAATCGAACACAGTACTAATAAACCTGGGACAAAGTATAAAATTTATTGTCTATCCCGGTAGAAACTGGATCTCTATGCCGTGCATAGATGATATTCATGATAATAGAAGTCAAGAAGGCCAGATCATAATGATCGAGTAATACCTTTTATTTCTATTAAAATATGTGAAGCATTATCAATTTGGTGGAAAAAAAATATATAATATCCCGTTCTTATTTGTATACATCTACAATGGACTTTAAAAGACTGTCAGAAGCTCAGTTTTTTGTTATTTTATCTTATATTTTAACGGAATTTCATACACAGGCAGAGTGACACTGGTATAATACAATAATAATGCTGATGATAATAATAATAAACTTCAAAAAGGAAACAATAAAATACCCCGCTAGCGGTGCGCAAATGCGTTCCATTTCCCCCACATAGTGCCTCAAATTTTACCGATAGTCACGTGACATGTGCGACAGATACCAGACGAACAGTAAATCACGTTAAGAATTGAAGAAATTTCGGCTATAAACTGATATTAATCAGCAGCTTTTTAATTGGTCAGATGTCACTGGGTCATAAAATGTTGTTAGAGTATGTTGCCGCAACTTGTGACCCTCTCTGGTGCGATATTTGTGTATTATGCAATTATTTAGCGTGAAACGTAGGGGTCCGAGAGAGAACAGCCGATTTATGACACTTCGTTTGATGCGGGTCGGACTAACTTTGAATCGGCATAACTTTTTTAATAATCAAGCAATTAACATGCGGTTTGAAGCACATGAAAGGAAATTCATTTACGGAGGGAACCGTGTCAGGGATTTTTGTTTGCTCAATCAGCGACTTAATTATCTTTAATTACGTAATATGTATGGTGAAAAAAGTCGCATAAAATGTTTGACGTTACGTAATATTTTTTTGAGAAAAGATAGAAAAAATTTGAGACACGGTTCCCCAGATAATATAAGTATGGTTATTTTCCAAAAGTTTGATGACAAAAAAATAAAAAATGACTTTGATATGACGATTTAAAATTTTAGGATTTTTATTCAAAATCAATCATTTACAAAGGCATTTTTTTCAAATATGTTATTTTTTATGATGATCAACGATATTTAATGCACAAAGATTAAATAAATAACAATTATTACTAAAAAACTTGGTTTAAATGACATTTATGTGAGTACCATGGAAAGTGTCTGTTGTCACCTTAAAACAAATCAGTAGGGAAGATATGCACAGGATGTGTGACCTTGACCTTGGTCGCAGGGACCTGAATTTTATGCACGGCACTCAGCCTCACAATGATGAACATTTGTGCCAAATTATATTGAAATCCCTCTATGCATGTAGAAGTTTTGCTCCAGACAAGCGTTTTTCTATGAGCTCTAACTGTGACCTTCACCTTTGACCTAGAGACTTGGTTCATGTGCAGGGCACTACGTCTCATGGTGGTAAACAATTCTATAAAGTAACATTAAAATTCCTCCATGCATGTAGAAAATATGCTCCGGACAACATCTGGATATTTAATCATCTCCAGTGACCTTGACCTTGCAAATATTAACCTAAATTAAATGTGTCACACCTGTAGTCATGATAGTTACCATTTGTGCTACAATCCATCAATAAATGATGACTAAATGGTCCCTATACACATCTTCAAATTTTTATCTGAACTTTGACCTCTATGTGTAACCTTGACTTTGGTCGCAGGGATCTAAATTTTGCGTGCGACACTCAGCCTCACAATGGTGAACATTTGTGCCAAGTTATATTGAAATCCCCCTATGAATGTAAAAGTTTTGCTCCGGACAAGCGTTTTTCAATGAGCTCTAAGTGTGACCTTGACCTTTGACCTGGAGACCTGGATCATGCATGGAGCAATACATATCATGGTGGTGAACATTTCCATAAAGTATTATAAAAATTCTTCAATACATGTAGGAGATATGCTCCAGACAAATTCTGGATATTTCACCATCTTTAGTGACCTTGACCTTGCATATATTGACCTAAAGTACATGTGTCACAGCCGTAGTCATGATAATGACCATTTGTGTTACAATCCCTCAATAAATGATGATTAAATCGTCCCTATACACATCTTCATATTTTTATCTAAACTTTGACCTCTATGTGTGACCTTGACCTTGGCTGCAGGGACCTGAATTTTGTGCGCGACACTCCGCCTCACAATGGTGAACATTTGTGCCAAGTTATATTGAAATCCCGCTATGCATGTGGAAGTTTTGCTCCGGACAAGCGTTTTTCAATGAGCTCTTAGTGTGACCTTGACCTTTGATCTAAAGACCTAGTTCATGTTCGTGACATGGCTTTTCATAATGGTGAACATTTCTATGAAATTTCATTAAAATCCCTACATGCGTGTAGGAGATATGCTCCGGACAAAATCTGGATATTTCATCATCTTTAGTGACCTTGACCTTGTATATATTGACCTAAATTATATGTATCACAGCCATTGTCTTGATAATGACCATTTGTGTTACAATCCCTCAATAAATGATGACTAAATGGTCCATATACACATTTTCATATTTTTATCTGAACTTTGACCTCTATGTGTGACCTTGACCTTGGCCGCAAGGACCTGAATCTTGCGCGCGACACTCCGCCTCACAATGGTGAACATTTGTGCCAAGTAATATTGAAATCCCTCTATACATGTGGACGTTTTGCTCCGGACAAGCATTTTTCAATGAGCTCTAAGTGTGACCTTGACCTTTGACCTAGAGACCTGGCTTATGTGCGCGACACTGCCCCTTATAGTGGTGAACATTTCGATGAAGTTTCATTAAAATCCCTCCATACATGTAGGAGATATGCTCCGGACAAAATTGGACGCCGCCCGCCCGCCCGCCCGCCCAACCGACCGCCTGCCAGGGGCGTTCCCATAATACGTCCCGTTTTTCAAACGGGCGTATAAAAAAGCAGTTAGTGATGTGTTAGCTCTGGAATTGAGTGTATTTTTGTTACCTCTCTATATTCTAAACCCGTCAAAATTGTCAGATGTTAAATAAAGCAATTAGAACATTTTGTCAAGCACTTATACTTATCAAATGAATTTTTCCATAATCTATTTTCTTTCAAAAATA